TACTTTTGCGTTCCCTCACAATACTTTTGCGTTCCCTCACAATACTTTTGCGTTCCCTCACAATACTTTTGCGTTAACTCGCAGTATTTTTTGCGTTCCCACGCAATACCTTTGCGTTCCCTCGCAATACTTTTGCGTTCCCACGCAAAAGTTTGATTTGTATATGAACTGAATTAAATCAGACTTTTATTTTGAAATATCCTGTTACCAAAACAGGATGTGTCGCCACAAGTTCATGAAATTGACGTTGTGTGGTTGCACTGTGTTAAAATATCAGCATATGACATCCTCCCATGCATGGCTGTGTGATATATTCATTCTGAAGCTGAATTAAAACAGCAGGCTAACTCGCTAATGGTGAACATGTGAGTTTGTTAATAAGCCAGCAGCATAACAGTGTTTAACGACTTTTGCGAGGGAACGCAAAAGGTATTGCGAGGTAACGCAATACTTTTACATGGGAACGCAAAAAGAAAAAAAATCCCCCATGTCCCCTCACGTGCTCCGTACTAAATAATGAAAAATATGTTAGTGAAAATCATTCAAAATTTCATTTTACACTTGGCGCCCCATACTCACAAGCAAACAAGGTTTTGCAACTTTTGGTGACATTTATGCAGAAAAGACTACAGATCCAGAGAATGCCACTCTTTGAAATGTCATCTAAAATGATGGTGCAACAGCAGTTAGCTGAAATGATCACCTTCACACCTGAAAACAAAAGACCAGGAGAATACAGTGCTGCACAAAACCAACCGCAGCTGAAACTCAAAACAATTCATCAGGCAGAGGAACACAGAACCTGGCTAATTTAAAAGCTTCCGAACAGTTAAGTGGACAAACTGGCTTTTAATTTGTTTTACGCTCTGTGATTTAGAGAAACTTTGACGAGGAGAAAAGCATCTGTTGCTGCAGTAAATTTGAAGCGAATCCGGCTCCCGTGGATCAAAACTTGATGAAATTTCCCCGCTCTGTGTGAGACCAACATGAAACACGTTGCCGTGTCTCTGTGTTAACATTCATCAACATAATAATCTGAATTTATCAAACAAATTGCTTCTGTAGAAAGACCTTCATTCTGGCCCAAAGCAAGTTGTTTTGTGTGCCTGCTCAAACTCTTTTACTTTTTACCCGTTTACGTCGTTTCCAGTCTTTTCTATAATAAACTCAAATGACAAGTTTTTGGGCCTTTTTTTGTGCAAAGTTAAACTGTACAGCTTCTTTATCTGCAGGTCTTTCATTATTAATTGCCTCCTTCCACTGTAAAGGTACATCATTTGTCTGTCAGCCATGCAGTGCAGCTTGTCTCTTTGTGTGAAACTGAATGAGCTAAAACACATTGAAGAGGATTAATCTGTATGGTACTGACTGGCTGCGAGCTGTATTGTTCCTCTTTTCTTATCATGATTTTAATCCCTTATTGCATCAGGTGTGTGCCTCTCACAGTCAAACACATGTTCCGCTGCTCATTTTCCCTCAAAGACGGCACGCTGATGTGTTCAACAGGAAGTGGAAAGCTCYAACACCGCTTTCTTGTCCTTTCAGGTGCGTTTGCAACATCGACTGTTCCCACATCAGCTTCAACCCGGTGTGTGCCTCAGACGGTCGCTCGTACGACAACCCGTGCCAGGTGAAGGAGGCGTCCTGTCAGAAGCAGGAGCGCATCGAAGTCAAGTACCTGGGCCACTGCCAAGGTTCGAGTCTCACGCAGACGTTTGTGCACACGCCGATGCTAAAAGGCAACAACAGCCTCGGAAACGAAGCAGAAGCTCAGTCTGACTGAGCAGATATGTTCACAGGAAGTGAAGACGTCCAGACAAAAAAGATGCAAACATTTCAAACTCAAGCACAAGTGACCAGTCCACATTAAACTACTGTTGTTATTGTCTTTAATTGTGCCAGAGTTATCTGAAAACTTTTTAAATGCTTGCTTCTCTTCTTTTAATACACCTACAGTCTTTTAAAGATAAGCAAATATATATATTAAAAAAACATATTAGAAAAATAAAAAAATAAGGATGTTGAAGCCACAGAACCAGGCAAGTTTCATTGCATCATAAATCTGAGAACTGCTTCAACAGCTTTAAATTCAGAGCATAAATTCTCTGACCTCCAAAATAAAAAAAACCCAATTCCAGTAATATTATAATAATTTGAAATAGACTTTGTCTAGCCGTTCAGGAGAGAAAAAAATTCAGAGCGGCGTCAATAAGGTGAGAAGAAATGCATTATTCCCTCTGATCTTTCTTACAGATTTTTGCTCCATTTTCCCTTTTGTTCAGTATAATACATTAGAGTCGACTGCTTCAGACTTTTGAAGAGAATGGTTTGCATTTATTCGTATTAAAGCACACAGGTGCACGCGGTATGAGCTCTTTGTTGAGATGATAATTCACATCCACCCTTCTCTGCTCGCGTTGGCATCGGTTTGAATGTTGGGCCATTAATGGATGGGGCTGGAGCTTGAGGAGGGGTTGCGGTGACCTGAGATCTGCTTTAATGTGTCTTTGGCCTTTCCAGGTGACATCAAAACTGGGAACAAAGGCGATGGACACTTGCCACATACTGACCACACGGGTGAGTGCCTCTAATAGGGGAGTCGCAAAAAGCTTGTGCGGCACTGAGCTACGTCAGTGTCACAGACTCTTTGTTTATTTGTTATTTATTTATTTCATTTTTGACTATATCTTTTATCTTTTTCAAATACTGTTTTTTTGTTTTGTTTTGAACACAGGTATCCATTACCAGCTAAGCTTTTAGCATCAAYGTATTTGTCTGTGTGTTTGTCTGGACAGGTGTGGAAATAGAAGATTCGAGTAATGGAATGGCCAGTGGCTTGTCCATCCCATGTCCAGGTGACTACAAAAACTACTGCATCCATGGAGACTGTCAGTTCCCCAACATGGTGGCCCAGCCCTCCTGCAGGTACTTGCGCACAAATGAACTTACACAACTGGACATTTAGAAGGACAAACCAGCAGTAGTCATTGCATTCTGCATGAGTTTAATGTGAAGGACTGCAACATAAAGGCTTGTAGGATACCATTTGTTGTACCCATTAACCATGTTTATTTTTATTAGCAATCCAAGCCAAACACAAAGGTTTTTTTGGTTTGTTTAGAAACACGTTTACTACAGTACAGTCATGGCCAAAAGTTTTGAGAATGATTCAAATATTAATTTTTACAAAGTCTACTGCTTCAGTTTTTATAATGGCAATTTGCATATACTCCAGAATGTTATAAAGAGTGATCAGCTTAACAGCAATTAATTGCAAAGTCAATATTTGCCTAGAAAATGAACTTCAAGGAGAGAAGTTCCATGGTTGCCAAAAAGGCTTCCAGAGCGCCCAAGAAAGGCCAGCAAGCGCCAGGACCGTCTCTTAAAAGTGTTCCAGCTGCGGGATTGGGCTACCAGCAGTGCAGAGCTTGCTCAGGAATGGCAGCAGGCAGGTGTGAGTGCATCTGCACGCACTGTGAGGCGGAGATTCTTGGAGCAAGGCCTGGTCTCAAGGAGGGCAGCAAAGAAGCCACTTCTCTCCAGGAAAAACATCAGGGACAGACTGATATTCTGCAAAAGGTACAGGGAGTGGACTGCTGAGGACTGGGATAAAGTCATTTTCTCTGATGAATCCCCTTTCCGATTGTTTGGGACATCTGGAAAACAGCTTGTTCGGAGAAGACGAGGTGAGCGCTATCACCAGTCTTGTCTCATGCCAACTGTAAAGCATCCTGAAAACATTCATGTGTGGGGTTGCTTCTCAGCCAAGGGAGTCGGCTCTCTCACAGTTTTGCCTAAAAACACAGCCATGAATAAAGAATGGTACCAGAATGTCCTCCGAGAGAAACTTCTCCCAACCATCCAAGAGCAGTTTGGTGATGAACAATGCCTTTTCCAGCATGATGGAGCACCTTACCATAAAGCAAAGGTAATAACTAACTGGCTCAGTGAACAAAACATAGAGATTTTGGGTCCATGGCCTGGAAACTCCCCAGATCTTAATCCCATTGAAAACTTGTGGTCAATCATCAAGAGATGGGTGGACAAACAAAAACCTAGGAATTCTGACAAAATGCAAGCATTGATTGTGCAAGAATGGACTGCTATCAGTCAGGATTTGTTTTAGAAGTTGATTGAGAGCATGCCAGGGAGAATTGCAGAGGTCCTGAAGAAGAGGGGTCAACACAGCAAATATTGACTTGCTGCATTAACTCATTCTGTCAATAAAAGCTTTTGTTACTCATAATATAATTGCAATTGTATTTCTGTATGTRATGAAAACATCTGACATACACACATGAAAACCAGAGGGCAGCACATCATGTGAAAATACAATATTTGTCATTCTCAAAACTTTTAGCCATGACTGTACTATATGTGTAGTAAAATACAAACCAACAGAAGAGAAAAAGTTCATTATAACAGCTGTCAGCATTTTTCACAGGCGAGGCGGTTATATGGGAGTTAGATGTGAGAGCTGGTAAGAAGACTTTTTGAGTCTGAATTCTTCCAGTTATTTTTTTCTCACTTCCATCCATCCATCCATCCATTCATCCATCCATCCATCCATCCATCCATCCATCCATCCATCCATCCATCCATCGATCCAATATCTTCCACTTCATCCAAAGTCGGGTCGCAGGGGCAGCAGCTTGAGCAGGGAAGCCCAGACCTCTCTTTCCTGAGCCATCTCTTCTGGGAGGGCTCAAAGGTATTCTTCCTCAGGGTCTCCTCCCAATTAGACGTGCGTGAAGCACCTCCCTAGGGAGGCTTCCAGGAGGCATCCTTACAAGATGCCTGAACCACCTCAACTGGCTCCTCTCGATGTGGAGGAGCAGCGACTCTACTCCGAGTCCCTCCCAGATAACTTAAAGGGGCAATATTATGTGTTTCTCAGGTATATATTTAAGTTCTATACCATAATAAAGTATCTATGTCACATTTATTTGTTATTAAAATGCTTTTTTATGTTTTAATAGAAAATAAATTCATCTTCTCATCATTTCCATTTCTAAACACCTTGAAATTGGTCTCTGTCTCTTTAAAAACCTCCTTCTGTTTCTGTCTCGCCCATTTCAACATGTGGGGGGGCTGTGATATGGAAGCTCAGTGTAGTTTCTTGGCACCTGAAAATACATTTCCTCAAAGGTATTTTGAATTTGAAAAGGGCTGCGCTCAGTAGTAGTGTTCGGAGCTCCGCAGATAGTTTCAGTTTCACTTTCAGTTTCACCAGTTGTTTGCTTTGTTGCTGCCAAGAGCCTGCAGGAGTCATGGGCGGGGTGGGAGGTGTTCTCTGTGATGAGGAAGCTCAGCTTGGAGACACAGCCCAGAGGAGGAGCTGATCCCAAAAGGCGGTTCTAGTCCCAACCGGTCATTTTTGCTGCCTTGCCTGTATGTCTCAGGACAGCGCAGGATTTCTCAAACATGCCTGAATGAGTCAAAGCAAGACTCTGAGTATGTTTTTGATGAGAGGATAACATTATAACATGATATAAAACTCAAAAAAGTTGATTTTACATGATATAGCCCCTTTAACTTCTCACCCTAACTCTAAGGGAGAGTTCAACTACCCTGCTGAGAAAACTCATTTCGACCAATTGTATCCACAGTCTCATTCTTTCGGACCATAGGTGAAGATAGGAACGTAGACTGATCAGTAAATAGAGAGCTTTGACTTACAGCTCAGCATCACAACAGACCGGTACAGAGTCCACAAAACTGTGGAAGCTGCACCGATCCACCAATCTCACGCTCCATTCTACCCTCACTCGTGAACAAGACCCCAAGATACTTGAACTCCTGCACTTGAGGCAGAACTTCACCATGGACCATGGACTCAGACTTGGAGGTGCAGGTCCTCATCCCATCTGTCTTGACACGTAGAATTTCCAACTACTTGGTTCAAATGGAACACATCATATATGTCCAATCTCTGTTTACCTCTTGCTCCTACCACTAGTAGCAACTTAGAGGTGCCCTAGTGTCCAACTAGGTGACCTGATTTTTTTTTGAGATGTAGCAGGACGTAAAAGAAACATGCAAGAACTGTTGGTTGCCTATTTCACTGAAAACACATTTTGACCACTACTCCCTGAAATTTAGAATTAAGGACTTAAGGGTCACTCGAAATCAAAGGGTAGTTGTATTACTAAGATTGTGTTATGCCTAATTACAGCACAATACATGAGTATGTGATTATTGTGTAATATTCTACAGGGGAATGAGATGGTTTTATAGCAGTCTGTACCATTAAAGTCAAATTGCAATTACAAACAGTAATGGCAATTGGTCCTCAGATATAAAGCACCATTTTTAATCGAACTGCAGAGTGCTTTAGAATGTGTTACTCATTTGCACGCACAAATACTCGTACAGTGTTTTATCTGCATTATATGGCACCAGAGCAATGGGGTGTACACTGTCTGCCAGCTGGAAGAGGCCTATGCAGCCAGTTCTTGTGTAACAATCATATTATATCTTTACAGGGTAGATTTATTAACGTGCCTTACGTTAACCACAAAATTTGTTCGCCTGCTCTCTCTCCCTCTCTGATCTGCAAAAACTGAAAAAGAAAGCGTGTAATTTAAAACTGCTAACAGGCTGTAAAGATTTAGCAGTTACTAGCAAATGCTGGGACTCATTTACTTTTTAATCAACCTTGTTTATGTTGAAAGAATATAAGCCGCTGAGAGATGCAAGTGTTGTGCTGTGATACAATAAGATGGGCCATTGGCCAGTCGAAACATGCTTCCCTGCTTCAAATTAATCCCATGTTGGTTTTCTCAACCTTTAATAAGAACCTCTGTGTTCCTGGCCCCTCACTTTACAATCCTGGGCTGTGTTTGGAAGTGTTCAGGGTGGACTGTGTGGGCATCAGCAGTCGCTGCGCCCATGGTTTGCATACGTTGTAGCTACGTACACGCATTTCAGACTTAGTTTAATGTAGGTCATATAAATATAGAAAACATATGAAAACAAAAATCTTAATCTGCTGATTAATGGCCCTTCAAAGACAAATTAAATTCACATTAAATATTTTGCATCGGCACATCAATTCTCATATTTCTAAATGTTGACAAAACCCTCAATCGGACATTTATTTTGACCCTCAAAAATCTGTAATTGTCACAAAAAATTAATCACAGATGCTCTAACGAAGCAGATAGTCAGGCAGGGAGAAGTGACTGCAGAGCAGAGGTGCAGGGAACGAAGGACAGGGAGAGGAGAGGGACAGGTTAGGAGATGGTTAGGTCATTTATTTATTTATTTATTTATTTATTTATTTATTTATTTATTTATTTATTTATTTATTTATTTATTTATTTATTTATTTATTTATTTTTTTTTTATATAACAGGGTTCCCACACCTTAGTCAACATCAAATTCAAGGACCTTTCAAGGACTTTCCAGTACCAATTTCCTCAACTTCAAGAACCACGCGTGACGGCAACTACCTACTGCAGAATGTTACCAATAAAAAGGTTTAATATTGTTTAATTGAATGAGAAACTGAACAACATAGAAGTTGTTGAGTCAGAATCAATGAAAGAAAGTGGATTAAACGTTTACCCTACATTCATATCCACAGTACATGGACATGTAATTATGTCCTGGGAGGTTCGGCAGTTTGGGAGGAGGGGATGTGAAAACGTCCAGGAGAAGTTGTGGCGGTCTCACCTGGGCTCAGGAAGAAAGACCCGCCCTGCCCTGCTCTGATTGGCTAAAATGGCTCACGCTATTTGTTGAAAACCACGTCATTTTACCGTAATCCTGAGCTTTCCACCGCAACAAGTGTAATTTATTTATTTATTTATTTATTTATTTATTTATTTATTTATTTATTTTACAGATGATGAATATCAGTCGTGTGAATAGAGAACTTCAATCTCCCCAAAAAATTCAAGGGCTTTGAAGGACAAGTGTAATTTTTGGCTGTTTTCACAAACTTTCAAGGTCCTTGAAATCTCTTTTTTAATTCACAAACTTTCAAGGATTTCAAGGTCCTGTGGGAACCCTATTTATTTATTTATTTTAATTTTTGTTACTTGCTGGCTCTGAGATGTAAAGTACTTGAAGCTGTTTTTGAAAAAATATATATTCTCTCAACGTCTATACACCTGCAAAATGGAGTCAAATCTGTGTAATTTATGGACAATTTGTACAATCTTGACATGTCATTAGATTTCTTATTATTTCCTTCATAAAATGTTTTTTTTTCTTAGACTGAACCATTTAGCTGGAATCTGTTTCCTGCCATGCTATAAAAAGAAATCCAAGATGTTGACTCAGATTCACAAGGTCCATTTAGAAAGGACTAGAGACCCAACAAAAACTGAACCAGATGCCTTTTCACTGGCTGCACACACAAGACTAAATGTACAGACAGGATGAGACTGTATATTACCCCACCCACACACAAACACACACCACCTTCAGTCTGCAGCCAGGGGGGTCTTCAAGTCTCCCACTCCCTCTGTCTTTCTCAGTTCTCTCTTAACCTGGATGGTCCCAGATCACCCAGCCAGACATTCTTATTGCATAAAATGCAGGGATTTTTCAGATGGGGAGTGTGGAGGGTCTCTGCTGCCCCCTGCTGGTGGGATGAAGCAGGGACTGTAGCCTAATGAGGAGGGAGCAGAGTGGTCTGGGTGGGAGTGAGGCATGTCTTTCTCTGTTTGAGGGTAGGGGTGTGTTGATGTGTGTTTGTGTGCATCCGTGTTGAAATAAAGTACATCTTCCAAACAGAACAAGGTTACACTGTTCATCTTGCACACTGTCAGGTTGAGGGGATACAGAAAATAAAGTGTGTGTGTGTGTGTGTGTGTGTGTGTGTGTGTGTGTGTGTGTGTGTGTGTGTG